GCCACAACGCCACAACGCCCGACTATTTTTTGGTTGCAGCCGTCATTGTTGTTTGGTGGGTCCGGGCTGGGGATTCGAACCTGCCACCTTAGGTGTACGTGGCTGGTGCCTTAGCCGGTTGAGCTATAGGCGCCAAGCTGGGTTTGAACCCTCCACCTCCAGCATATGGGGCCAGCACCCTACTCCTTTGAGCCACAGGTGCTGCCCGTTTGTGAAGCTCTTAACACGTTTCAAACTGTTCTAAATTTCTGTCTTCTTAGCAAGACTCAGGTGTGTGCTCTGTCAAGAGGCAGCTATTTCAAAGGAGGCTTTGGTGAGCTGAGGTGGTGTGATTTCAACTCTGCCTAGATAGCATAGGAACTAACTTTCTCTCTCTCTCCCTCCTTCCCCCTCTTTCTCTTCTCTCTCTCCTCCTTCCTTCTCTTCTTTTTCTTTCCTCTACTCTTCCCTCCTTCCTTTCTCCCTCTTTCTTTCCCTTCCTTTCTTTCTCTCTCCTTCCCTCTATTTCTTGTCCTTTTTGTAGGAACTGGGAGTGGTGGTGGAACAAGTTCATTATCCTCCAACTGCAGCTTATTGTTTGTTAATTTGAAACAAATGAAAACCTATTTTCTACTTTATTTTTTAACCTCATCCTACCCCTTTCTAACTTGAAAAGCCAAGTAGCTTTTATTTCTTCCTCCTAAAACACACGTACAACACTCAAATTCACAATACGAAATGTTTTTCTGCAAATATGATTTTAACATTAGTTACTCCTATTACTCCTAGTAAAATAGGATTTTAACATTCTATTCCTCCTAGTAATAGGAGTAGTTATTATTAGTCTTGGAAAACTTGAGACTAAGATTGAAGCTTTTTCTCAAGCAGTAAATACATTGATAGTCTTATTTGATTCCAAGTTAGAAGACGCCTCTCCCAAGTCCCTTGGGAAGTATTACTGGGAGCTCTTCTCCTTTACGTCTTAGGCATCTGAGAAGGGTGAAAGCTGGTGGCCAGGACTGCACCCTGCCGGCACATCTGCAGAGGGCAGGCGTACCTCTCTGCTTGCCAGCCTGGGTACCGATGTGCTCCAGTTGTGTAGGCAGCAGCCAGAGGTAGGCTCTGGGGCCAGGCTGCACTGGCATTTGCTCTTTTTTCCACTTGACTGCAGCAGTGACTTCAGGTTTCCAGCTAATTTACTTCCACCCTGGACTCCAGCTGGCCCCCAGTTGCAACTGGCCCCATAAAACTGGCAGTGAAGGAGAAGTGGGTGGGAGGGGGGCACCTTACCTAATTCCCTTTTATCACGGTTGGTTTGGTTTAGTTCCATTTATATGCAACAAGAACACTTTTTCGTAATAGTTAGCATTGTGGGAGGCTCAGGAAATACTCTACAGCTCAAGCAATGGAGAATAAGAATCACTTTTTATTTGGGTTCAAAAATTTTATGGCATTAACAACCATAAGCATCTGATTAAGACTCCCAATCAGCCATTAGGGCTAAAGGGGTCATGATATAAAAACAAAGAGTCACGGCAAGTAAGCTGGTGAACCACTGCCTTTAAAAGTGTCTAAGGGAACAGCGTGCCAACAGTGGAAAACAGAAAGAGAAAACAAGTTTCTGTGTGTGTGTCCTGTGTGGTAAAAGGGAATGTAAAATGCTTGTGCTTGTGTGTTGCTTTTCCTAAACAGGAAGTCGTGATGCTGTGGGAGGGGTATGGCGTGGAAGTGACCCCCATCCAGTCTTTCAGGTGTCCCAGCAGCAGGGTCACTCACTGCTCCTACTGAGTTCTGGTCGTGGTCCTCAAAGCCCAAGCTCAGTTCTCCTGTTGGTTATTAATTTTCCCTTTGGTTCACACTCAGGATTCTGTAACTTAAAACTCTTTCTTCCCAGAAGCTGGGGTGTACTGAGCAGAGCAGCTTTCTAAGTGTGAGCCACTCCCCCGTGTAAAAACTGAAATTTTCTCAAATTCAACAAAATGAGATTGCCTAAAGGAAATTATTGTAGAATATCTTCCTGATGGCATGGTTTAACAGAAAGAAAGTACGAAAGTCTGCCCTTTCTTTTCTGTAGTTTGTGAAGTTCTTTTTTTGTTTGTTTGTTTGTTGTTTTTTTGGCTGGTGCTGGGTTTTGTTTTTTTTTTTTTTTTTTTTGAG